CAACACCTGTGTTCACCCCTCGTGAGACTAAACTATTTATATTAAATTTAGAATAACTAAAATTATGGCTAATGAGTCAATTACCAAATATTTAAATGTATATATACTTGTTTTTCTCTTTGGCCTTCAGCTTTCTCAGAACAATTTTACATGTATGTGTCCTTGGAAATGTTTCTCTTGTACTAGGAGGACTTTCTAATTTTTTTATTGTAAATTTTCTATTTGTTCAAGTACATTTTTCTACATGTACTTGATCCAAAGATGTAGTTCTAATTACAAAGATAATCAATTACTTAATTATAAATCTTAAGTTTTAAAGAATATAAAGGTGAAAAAAACAATTATTATATTAACTGTTTTTATATATTAAACAATTACATTAAAAACCTTTTTTGCCCCGGCTGGTGTGGCTCAGTTGGTTGGAGCGTCATCCTGTGCACTGGAAGGTCATGGGTTCGATTCGCAGTCAGGACACATACCAAGGTTTCAGGTTCAGTCTCCAGTCGGGGTGTGTACAAGAGTCAACAATTGATGTTTCTCTCTCACATTGATCTCTCTCTCTCTCTTTCTCCCTCTCCTATCCTCCCTCTCTACAAGTCAATAAAAATTTTTTTTGTACTGTAAAAATTACTAGAAAACAGGATGTTTGAAAGGGTAAAACATCAACAGTTAACTTACGAGTCTTAAGAGACCATTAGTCTGCTATTTCTATTTGTGTTCATAAACTTATCAGTCAGGGTCCAGGCAGGAAACAAAGTATTCAGCTAAGATTTTGAATTGATTTCAATGAAGGGACTAATCAAAGACATATGGAGGAGGTTATGGGGACCAGTTAAGGAGACCGACAGACTCAGGGACCAGGGACAACAGGAGGAGTTGTTTTGCTGTTAAATATTTTTTAGTCTGAGGACCTTCTTAATACCTTCATTAATAAGCATGTGTGTGCCCACTGTGTATCCTGCTAGTTCGGGAACACACAGCTGTGACTCTGAAACTGACCCTTCTTGTGGAACTCACAGTCATGTGGCAGATCCAAAAAACCCATAGACGGAGACAAACGGGCAGTTACACGCATACCTCATTTTATTGCTGTTTTATTGTTTTATTGCCCTTTACAGATACTGTTATTTTACAAATTGAAGGTTTGTGGCAATCCTGAGTTCAGCAAGTCTTTGGCCACCATTTTTCCAACAGCATTTGCTCACTCTGTGTCTCAGTGTCACATTTCGGTAATTCTAGAAATATTTCTGACTTTTTTATTCTTACTATATTTGTTGTGGTGATCTGTGATCAGTGATCTTTGATATTGCTGTTGTAATTGTTTTGGGGCACTATGAGCCATGCCCATATAAGATGGTTAACTTAATCGCTAACTTGTGTGTGTTCTGACTGCTCCACCAACCGTCTGTTCCCCCATCTCGCTCCCTCTCCTTGAGACACGTGAATATTGAAATTAAGCCAATCAATAAGCCTACAATGGCTTCTTAGTGTTCAAGTGAAAGAAAGAGTTGCATGTTTCTCACTTTAAATCAAAAGCTAGAAATGATTAAGCTTAGTGAGGAAGGCATGTGGAAAGCTGAGACAGACCAAAAACTAGGCTTCTTGCTCCAACAGTTAGCCAAGTTGTGAATGCAAAGGAAAAGTTCTTGAAGGAAATTAAAAGTGCTACTCCAGTAAACATGAATGATAAAGTAGAACTGCCTATTGCTGATATGGAGAAAGTTTTATTGGTCTCTATATAAAAGGACAAGCCACCCACAAAATTCTCTTAAGCCAAAGCCAGGAGAAGGTTCGAAATCCCTTCAGTTCTCTGAAGGCTGAGAGAGGTGAGGAAACTGCAGAAGTTGGAAGCTAGTAGATACTGGTTTATGATGTTTAAGGAAGGGGCATCTCCGGAACACAGAATGCAAGGTGAGGCGGCAGCTGCTGACGTAGGAGCTGCAGCTCGTTGTCCAGAAGGTGGCTGCACTGACCAGATTTCTCATGTAAACCAAACAGCCGTCCTTATGTTGGAAGAAGGTACCGTCTAAGACGTTCATAGCTGGAGAGGAGAAACCAATGCCTGGCTTCAAAGCTGCAAAGGACAGGCTGACTCTCTGTCAGGGCTCATGCAGCTGGTTACTAGGTCGAAGCCAGTGCTCATTTACCGTTTGGAAAATCCCAGGGCCCTTAAGAATTACACTAAATCTCCTCTGCCTGTGCTCTGTAAATGGAAGAATAGAGCCTGGATAACAGCACATCTGTCTACAACATGGTTTACTGAATATTTTAAGCCCACTGTTGAGACCTATTGCTCAGAAAAAAGATTCCTTTCAAAATATTACTGTTCATTGTCAATGCCTGTGGGCACTTAAGAGCTCTGGTGAAGATGTACAAGATTAATGTTGTTTTCATGCCTATTAACATAGCACCCATTCTGCAGCCCATAGATTAAGGTGTAATTTTGACTTTCAAGTCTTATTATTTAAGAAAGACATTTTGTAAGGCTATAGTTGACACATGTAGTGATCACTCTGTTGGATTTGGGCAAAGTTAACTGAAAATCTGGAATGGATTCACCATTCTAGATGCGATTAAGAACATTCATGATTCATGAGAAGAGGTCAAGATGTCCACATAAACAGGGATTTGGAAGAAGTTGATTTCAGTTCTCGTGAATGACTTGGAGGGGTTCAAGACTTCAGTGGAGGAAGTAACTCTAGATGTAGTGGAAATAGCAAGAGAACTAGAATTAGAAGTGGAACCTGAAGATGTAACTGAATTGCTGCAATCTCATGACATAACTTGAATGGATTAGGAGTTTCTTCTCAAAGAAAGTGGTTTCTTGAGATGGAATCTATGCCTGGTGAAGGTGCTGTGGAGATTGTTGAAATGACAACAAAGGATTTAGAATATTACATAAACTTGTTTGATAAAGCAGTGGCAGGGTTGAAGAGGGTTGACTCCAATTTTGAAAAAAGTTCTGTGGGTAAAATGCTATCAGATGGCATCACATGCTACAGAGAATTGTTGGTGAAAAGAAGAGTCAGTCGATCTGGCAGACTTCATTGTTCTTATTTTAAGAAGTTGCCACAGCCACCCCAGCCTTCAACAACCACCTCCGGGACCAGTCAGCAGCCATCAACATTGAGGCATGACC